GAACAAACTCCCGAGATGAGCACCGAATCAAAAACCTTGGGTAACTTTAAAAATTAGTTAGATAAGTACATTAGTTCTCCATGGGGAAGTGGAACAGAATTCTTCCTCTGTAAGCCATGTGTGTTGTAAGAGGCAACTAAAATGCCGAGAGCAAGGGGCTAGTAACCCCTTCTCCTGTATATATTACTAAATGTAAAAGGAGAAGCTTTCGTTTTTCCTTTTGGGCCACCCCGTCTCGGTGGGATATGGCCGGTGTGTTGAAAGAAGAAGTACATTAGTGGGAGTGGGCAATGTGACTTGAATTTGCCTAGATTGGGCCAGTTTCTTACGTTCTTATCTGAAAATCTATTCCCAAATATCATGTAGGTCTTATCAATGTTAAGAGTTAGTTTATTGATAGTCATCCAGGTAGATATCTTTATGAACCCCAAATTAACAGCATTATTGAGAGAATTCAAATTTGGGTGAGAGATGACAAAAGTTGTGTCATTTGCAAACAAAACAGGTCTAAGTTATTGAGATGAATTTGGAAGATCACTGATGTATACAAGGAAAAGCAGAGGGCTGAGAATGCTGCCTTGGGGTACCTCCTATGTTGATAGATTGTATTGACAATCTTATGCCCTTCATGGAGACATACTGGTGTCTGTTAAGATAGGACCTTAGGTATTTAAGTGCATAACCTCTGATACCACAATATTCTAGTTTAAGATGCAGGATGCTGTGGTCTACTGTACTGAAAGCTTTCCTAAGGCCTACAGTGCCACTTCTGCTTACCAAAAATGGCTCACTAGATACTCAGATCAGCTGCCAGAGCTTCATTAAAGTGTTTAGCAAGCTCGGCATCTCACCCATTTAAAGTTTGAGAATAGGATGAGGACGTTTCATCCCAATGAATATTCATTATTCTCAAATCCATCTAATCTCCTTAAACCCATTTTATTTGCAGATGACACTACTTATGTCTTCTCTCACCCAAACCCAACAATACAAACAGACATTGTAAATGCCGAACTGATAAAAATATCTACTTGGATGACTACCAACAAACTTACTTTCAAAACAGAAAAAACCTACTTCACGCTATTTGGAAATAGAGCTTCAAATGTACAGCTACACATACTGATAAATGGTTCACCCATTTCTAGACAGAGGACAAATTTCTAGGTCTCCACCTTCACTGCAGTTTCAAATTTCAGACACACATACAGCAAATTTCCAAGAAACTCTCCAAAACAGTAGGCATCCTTTCAAAGATACTATGTACCCCAATCAGCTCTTCTAGTTCTGTACCACTCTCTCATTTACCCTTACCTCACCTATGGTATTGGTGCATGGGGCTCAACCACAGCAAATCACCTTAAACCTTTAATAACCCAACAAAAAGCTGAAGTGCAGTTGATTACTAACTCCTGCATTAGACAACACACTCCACCACTTTTCAAGAGTCTTAACTTGCTTAATATACAAAACATCCACACTTATTATTGTGTCTACTACATACACAAAACAGTATACTCAAATATAATCCCTCCTACTCAACTCCTCCTTGATAACTATAACAGAACACAGCCATAATACAGACACAAATCACTCTTTGATATACCTCATGTCCATCTCTCCCTATGCAAAAATGCTATGCACATAAAGGGCCCAAAGATCTGGAATTCACTTCCAGAACAAACTAAAGGACCCGTCTGCAAATCACTTTAAGGCCCTACTAAGAAATCACCTCATCACCCAAAATTAACCAGACAAACCGTACCTAATAACTACCAGTTACTCAAAAGCTACTCATATTGTGCTGAGGACTGCCCAACCACTTACTCACTACTTCAAAATTAGGATGTTTAAATTTCATTGTTTTAAATAGTACTAAATTGTAATACATCATATTGTAAATTGTTTTAAATTGTTCTATTGTAATATTGAAATCTTTAAAAACTAACTCAATAGTGTAATTATTCTCTACTAGATTTATCGAAGCCATATAGCATTACCTAATAGAATATTAAATTCTCTTGTAACTTATCTAATGACCATATGAACTATCGTTGCCTTCCTAATCTTAAGTTAGTTTTTAAGTTTGCCCGAAATACTCTGCAGACAAAGGGGCTTTTGGCATTTACACCCAACTATTATATTCCTCTGTACAACCATGTATCATGTCAAAATAAACTTCTTATTCTTAAGTAAGTCAAGCATTTTTATAATTTCATTATTTCTTTCATTTTTCCTAAAACAAAACTGGCAGTGGTTGAGTATATTGAGTGATACTAGGAAAGAGTATAGTCTCTTGTAGATTAACTTTTCAAAGATTTTGGGCAACAATGACAAGTTAGTTATAAGTCTATAGTTATTTATGTTAGTTCGATCTCTGCCTTTATGCGCTGGGTAACATTTTCTATCTTAAGCATTATCAGAAATGTGTTAGTTTCTAATGATCTGTTGAACAATATCGCAATGAAGGGTGACAACACAAGAACCGCTCTTCTGAACAAAAGTGATAGTACATAACCCAAGTTTCCTGGTATGTTTTTCAGTGAATGTGTTATCAAGAAACCTCAGTAGAGTTAATTAAATCAAGTCAGTAGGGTTAGTTAAGTCAAGTCTCTAATATATACTCACAGGTGATCTGTGTGTCTTATTCATCACCTTGCTGCACAAATCATAGGTTATATGATCAGGTTCAACAGTCATTTCAGAATATTGGACTCCAACTGTAGCTCACAAAATTGTTTTTATCATACACAGCATAGTACTCCCACACTCACTGTTTCTACTCTTATCCTCTGTACTCTACATTCACTCAGCATCTTCTTCACACTCTCATCTCGCTGAATATAGCTTCCATACACAATGAGCAAAAGAAATCTTTAGTCATGTCCGCTCAGTACTGTATACAGGCAGGCCTTTCACTAATACAGCAGTTTTCAATTATACCCATTCTTCATTTATTCAGACTTGCTAAAATAAATATATTCACCACTCACTACAAGCCAAGGACAAAAATATTGTAAGGTGAGGAATGTACCTGGCTCTACTGCTCACTTAATATATGAGAGTGTAAACATGTTTAAAGGCTATGTTTCACTTTACAGCAATAGCCCAGAACCTAACCTGCTGTATAAGTAGGGACTGCCTATAATAGAATCTTTCATTCATATACAGTACTTCCCATTACCCACTCTTCTATCCCGTCTCCAGTCTCTCTCTGGACCTCATCTTACATTATCATCATTATTTCTTTTCTAACACCCTGGCCATCTGCCACCAAGGCAGGGTGACTTAAAAAGAAACACTTTCACCATCATTCACACTATCACTGGCTTGCCAGAGGCACACAGATACAAAAGTTTAGATGTCACTCTAAACAGCAAATATCTCAAACCCCCTCCTTTATAGGGCAAGCATGGTATTTCTCACCTCCAGTTTCCCTGAATCTCTTCACAAAATATTACCTTGCTATAACTCCAACAGTTCATCAAATCCTAAAAACCATTTGTCTCTGCTCACTCCTATTTAACCCTTTGAGGGTTTCGGCCGTACTAGTACGGCTTACGACCCAGGGTTTTTGACGTACTAGTACGCCTAAATTCTAGCGCCCTCAAATCTAGTGGGAGAAAGCTGGTAGGCCTACATATGAAAGAATGGGTATATGTGGTCAGCGAGCACAGTATAAAAAAAATCCTGCAGCACATAGTGCATAATGAGAAAAAAAAAACTTTGACTGTTTTTTTGGAATAAAACAGCGACTTTGCACTGTATTTTCGTATGGTATTTATTGTTGTATTCTAGTTTTCTTGGTCTCATTTTATAGAATGGAAGACATATTACAGAAATTGAGATGATTTTGACTGGTTTTACAATGAAAAGTACCTTGAAATTGAGCTCAAAGTAGCAGAAATGTTCAATTTTTACTCAAGTTCAAAAGTAAACAAATCATGCCAAGCGTCCAATACACATCAACTGGTGAGTCTAATATTCTTTCGCAAGTGTGCCAATATTATTTATACCATTTTTTACATTAATGCAGTAGTCTGCATAACAGTAAATCTTCTATTTTTTGTGAGAAGAAAAATTCAAAGTAGAAAGCAAAAGAATGTAAGAGGGGCCTTGAAACGTGACTAATGAACAGAGGAAATGTCATTTTAGTGCCAGGAATGTCTTTCTTGTTTATTCTGGACCCTATTCGTAAATTGGCATCTTTTGAAATTTGTGTGAAATTGGCAAAATTGCTAAATTCTGACCACTGTACTGGATAGTTGAAATTGGTAAATGGGTGGTTTTTTGCACTCATTTGATAGAAAAAATGGAGTTCTAGCGAAATATGTTTTTGTCGACTAGTACAATGGAATTGGCCGAAAATGGGGCTCAAAGTAGGCAAAATCGCCGATGCGTAAACATCTCCGAGACCTCTAACTTCGCAAGAGCATAATTCCATAAGTTTTCCATCAAATTTCATACTTTTGGTGTCATTATGATCGGGAAAAGATTCTCTATCTTTTCATAAGAATTTTTTTTTTTTTTTTTAAATTTGGCAGACCCTGAGAACGAGTCTCGGAGAGGGCCTGTCGACCCTCAAAGGGTTAACATGCTCACACGTGCCTGCTGTATGTCCAAGCCCATTGCACACAAAACCTTTACCATCTCCCTCCATCCTTTCCTAGAATGACCCCTACCCTGCCTTCCCTCCACTACAGATTTATACACCCTCCGAGTCATCCTATTTTGCTCCATCCTCTCTAAATGATTAACCCCTCCTCAGCCCTCTGAATAATACTTTTAGTAACTCCATACCTCTTCCTAATTCCCACACTACGAGTTCTCTGCATAATACTTGCGCCACACATTGCCTTTAGACACAACATCTCCACTGCTTTCAGCCTCATTCTCACTTCAACATTCACAACCCATGCTTCACACCCATATAAGAGTATTGGTATCACTATACTCTCATACATAAAAAAAATCATATAATGACATTCTTGAAAACTTACATGGCCACCCATGGATATTCCAGTAATTCCCAGTGGTCCAAAGCCCATGCGTTCAAGCCAGTGAAATATAGCCAGGGACTCCAAAATTAAGCAGCCACCCATCACAAACAAATCAGAAACATTGTGGAGACTTGAGCGACTGTAATGCAAAATGTATCATTATTCTCAAAGCTATTGTGAGATTATGAAAACACACATTATGCATATACCAATAGCATTAATAATTTAAAAAATACAGTAGATTGTTGAATATCTGGTACCATCAGGGGCATTTCCAAAGGGTCTTAAAAAACAAAAAAATAATCACATTAGTTTTATAGGCCCTATAGCTTGCATATTCCTTTCCCATATTAACTGTTCAGGTGTTTTGTACAAAAGCAATCAATGATAATGTTAAATGCAGAATGAGTGACTGAAGATAACTCATGATCTACTGTAATAAAAAAAATAATAATAAAAGTAATAAATTATTTGCACGAAGAAGGTAGAGTACAGTACAATACGTGGGTAAGTACTGTACGTATATCTCATGAAGGCAGAAGGTACATATATGTACTATGTGTAATAATAACATCGACCATATAGGTGAAAGGACACCAGTGCACCCACTTAGGACATTTTCATTGGATGTATTTCAGTCCTTGGAACTTGGTCATTCCTTTAGAATGACCAAGATTCCAGGACCAAAACCTATCCATTAAAGATATCCTAAGTGTATGTATGTATGTCCCTTTCATTGATGTATATCTTAATAAAACATGGGTGCTACCAATCATACCCAGAATAGGGAAAGCTACTGAAACCAGTTTTCATAGTGAAAAAAAAATGAATGGTTCAAACTGGGATCCCAGAGCCATGATTTGCTTTATTTACCATTATTAAGGTACACTAGTAACATGCATCAGAATCTCTAACACTTCTCTACTACCAATTACAAATCCACAATTTTGTGGGGTCTTGTAAGATTGAACCAAGACTTCACTACTGGAAAACATGAACACTACCAGTAACACCATAAGTTGGAAAATATACTGAAGCTGCTAGATTAATGGTACTATAGAGGAATACCACTGCTTGGCTGTTTTAGCAGAAAAACTAGTTTCAATACACAAATAACCCGCACATAGGAGAGAGGAGCTTGCGACAATGTTTCGCTCCGACTTGGACCACTTACAAAGTGACTCTGTAAATGATTAAGTTGGACCGAAACATCGTCGTAAGCTCCTCTCCCCTATGTGAGGGTTATTTGTGTATTTTTCCAGTCATGGTATTGTGCCTTTTTGTTATTTAGTTTCAATACCTTTACTTGTTCATGTAATTTGTTGTGTCTTCCAGACAGAAGGTTCAACCCTGTATGGCTAACAATTTTCCCACTATAAAACTTGTTTAATGGTTCTTTATGTTTTATATTAAATAGGAACTTTCCCATTTTCTTAAAAATTCAATGCAGGATACCAGTGCTTGATATATTAAATTATTAAAATGACATGTTTACAAATAAATTTTCAAATACATAAATTTTCAATGGCAATAAGCAGAGCGAACTGTACAACAAGCGAAACATAGATATCTACGTTTGGATAGTTTTATAGGTTAAATATATTTATAAACTGTGAAACCAAGTGAGTACAGTAGGACCCCCGTATCCACAGGTTCAGTTACCGCAGTTTCAGTTATCTACGGTTTACTGTGGAAAATAACCCTTAACCCTTTCACTGTTGAGATCCATGCTCGCAAACTTGCTCTCAGTGTTGAAGAATTTTCAGAAAAAAAAAGAAAAAATTATTTTTTCTTATGAAAAGATAATCTTTTCCCGATGGTCATGAAACCAAAAGTAGGAAATTTGATGAAAATTTACGGAATTACGCTCTCGCAAAGTTTGCGGTCTTGGCGATATTTATGCATCGGCGATTTCACTCACTTTGAACCCTATTTTTGGCCATTTCCACTGTTCCAGTTGACCAAACTCATAGCTATTTTGCTAGAACTCCTTTTGTTCTATCAATTGAGTACAAGAAATAACCCATTTACCTATTTCAACTACCCAATAAAGTGATCAGAAATTGGTAATTTGGCCAATTTAATACAAAATTCAAGGAAGGCCAATTTCAAAATAGGGTCCAGAATTAACAATGCAAACATTCCTAGCACTAAAATAACATTTTCTCTGTTCATTAGTAATGTCTCCAGGCCCCTCTTATATTATGCTTGCTTTTCATATTGAATTTTTATTCACACAAGAAATAGAACATTTACTGTTATGCAAACTACTGCATTATTATAAAAATGGTATAAATAATATTAGTACATTTGTGAAAGCATATCAGACCAATCAGCTGACCTGTATTGGACACGTGACGTGATTTGTTTACTGTTGAACATCGGCAAAAATCGAACATTTCTGCTACTTTGTGCTCAATTTCAAGGTACTTTTATTCTGTAAACCATTCAATATCTTCTTTATGTAGTATATCTTCCATTCCATTCTATCAAATGAGACCAAGAAAATGAGAATGCAACCATAAATACCATATGAAAATACACTGCAAATTCACTGTTTTAAACCAAAAACACGGTCGCAGTTTTTTTCTCATTATGCACTGCGTGCTGCAGAATTTTTTAATATTGTGCACACGGGCCACTCAGACCCATTCTCTCACATGTAGGCCTACCGGCTATCTCTCGCAAGATTGAAAGCCACTAGAATTCTGGCGTAGTATTACGGGACCGACACTGGCTTGCAAGCCATTATAATACATTATTATGGGACTGACAGTGAAAGGGTTAATTTTGCTTAATAATGACACCAAAGCACAAAAAGTAGTGCTTCTCCTAGGCTTCTTCAAAGCCTGAGAGATGCCGTAAAGTACTTCCCATCAATTCTCGACTTATTGTGCATAATACAGTGGACCCCCGCTTTACGATCAGCTCCCAATGCGATCAATTATGTAAGTGTATTTATGTAAGTGCGTTTGTACGTGTATGTTTGGGGGTCTGAAATGGACTAATCTGATTCACAATATTCCTTATGGAACCAAATTCATTCAGTAATGGCACCTGAACATACTTCTGTAATGAAATAACATCGTAAGCCAGGGGTCCACTGTATATCAATTAACCCTTTGACTGTCGCAACCCCCAATCCTGAGGTGTCTCCTGGTGTCGCAAAATTTAAAAAAAAAAAAAATTATTTTTTCTTATGAAATGATAGAGAATCTTTTCCCGATTGTAATGACACCAAAAAAACGAAATTTGATGGAAAACTGACGGAATTATGCTCTCGCGAAGTTAGCGACCTCGACGCTGTTTACAAATCGGCTATTTCGCCGACTTTGAGCCCTATTTTCGGCTAATTCCATTGTTTTAATCGCCCAAACTCATAGCTATTTCTTTAGAACTTTATTTTTTCTATCGACTGAGTACAAGAAACTGCCCATTTACTGATTTCAACTACCTAATAATGTGGTCAGAAATTTGCAATTTGGCCAATTTCACGAAAACTAAAAAATATGACAATTTCAAAATAAGGTCCAGAATGAACAATGCAGACATCCCAGGCTCTAAAATAACGTTTTCTTTGTTCATCAGTCACGTCTCCAGGCCCCTCTGATATTACTCTTGCTTTCTATTTTGAATTTTTATTCAAAAAAAAAATATTAGACTTACTATTATGCAGACTACTGCAATGCTGTAATAACTGTATAAATAACATCAACCCATTCATGACTGCATATTAGAATGGCTAGTTGGACATTTATTGGACAATGGCATCATTTGTTTACTTTTGAACATTGGCAAAAATCAAACATTTCCCCTACTTTGAGCTCCATTTCTAGGTTCTTTTTATAGTAAAATCAATCAAAAACATCTCTATTTCTGTAATATGTTTTCCACTCTATCAAATGAGACCAAGAAAACGAGAATACAACCATAAATACTATACGAAAATAGACCACAAAGTCGGCATTTTAATTAAAAAAAACGGTCGGAGTTTTTTTTTTCTCATTATGCACTGCGTGCTCCAGGATTTTTTTTATATGGTGCACACTGACCACACAGACCCATTCTCTCACGTGTGGGCCTACCAGCTTTCTCCTGCTTGATTTGAAGCCGCTAGAATTTATGAGTATATATACGTCAAACACGGCACCTCATAAAACGTATATATACGGCCGCGACAGTCAAAGGGTTAAACTTCATCACAGGTATGTATGTACACGAAAAACAACTTATATACATGTATATGTAGTGCACTATGTACTATCCGCAGTTTCAGTATCTGCGGTAGGTCTTGGAATGTATCCCCCCGTGGAAACGGGGGGACTACTGTACATTGTTATTGTAAAAACTCAAAGGAAAACTTAATATTATTGCCAATTTCCCTTTGAAGGCAACAAAATGACATTATTCAATAATACTCAAATATTGTATATGGAAATATGGGATATTGGCAGTTTGGAGGGATATGTTGTGCATCTTTATACGTATATGCTTCTAAACTGTTGTATTCTGAGCACCTCTGCAAAAACAGTGATAATGTGTGAGTGTGGTGAAAGTGTTGAATGATGAAAGTATTTTCTTTTTGGGGATTTTCTTTCTTTTTTGGGTCACCCTGCCTCGGTGGGAGACGGCCGACTTGTTGGAAAAAAAAAAAAAAAAACTCTAGGACACAAAGCAATCTTTAAATACAGGAATATACGCACTGTACAGCAAGTCCTCACTTAACGTCATTTCATTCAACATCATTTTGTCATAACGTTGATAAGAAACGAAAATTGATGCCCGGCTGGGGTCACTGTCTGCATGGAATTTGCACATTTGTTTATGAACTGCATGGTTGGAGGTGCATTTATTCCTGATTTAACCCTGTTGCAATGAGTGCTAAAGGTGTACTGTGCACCCCTAATGATTATACCAATTAGCTTATGGTAAAACTGGTTTCATTATACGTACATAGTTTCACTTAATGTCGCAGTTTCCAAGAACCACTTGATGACATTAAGTGAGGACTTACTTTATCTAGAAACTTACAGCTGATCCTTAGGTTTCCGACAACCATAAAAGGGATTCTCGAGGATGGCTGATGCAATTCCTGATTCGTCTAAAAGTGGTTTAACCATTAGCATTTTTCTTCTCCAAAACCCCTGAAAGAAAAAAGATCACTATATAAATCCCTAATGTGACATTTATGTAGCTGAATTGAAAACTAATAACAATGAAATGTTTAATTAGTGAGACTGCAGTGATTAATACTACAATGTTTATCTATCCTCAGTATGATAATACAGTACAGGTCTCCCTCGCTTCATGTGGATTTGTTTTACGCAAATTTTCTAAATATGTTATATCATTAATTTAGTATATGCAATATATGGTCACCATATGTGATCAGTACAGTTTGCAAAGCACATTCACAATTCTTATTATGTGTAATTAAGTGTTTATGGCCTGACTGAGTTGCCAAGGGCCTAAAACATGTACACAGCATAAAATAAGGGACACTTGGTAACAGCACCTTGAAAAGAATCAGAAAGAAAAAATGAGACTTCACAAAAATCAGCTTACATGATCTCCAGTGCCTGCCAAGTGCAAGCAGGTAGGCTTCAGGTGAGTGCGCCATACTTTTGGGAACACTAACTGAAAAGCAGCTTTCTCTGACTCTTTAGGCAGAAGACCTGGCAAGTGGTCCACAAATGGGGACATAAACTCTGCTTCCCAAATAATATGGTCCCCATTATCAACCTCCTGTTAGAAAAAAAAAATCAAGATTATAGATGTATCAAAAGCATAAAATTTACCACTAACATACGAAGACAATCCTGCTTCAGTTCATAAACCTGAGAAATATATGCAAAATACTCACAGAAACGACAAGTGTATAAGACAACCTGTGACCAGTTTGAGAAATTTTTCTACCCTCGCAGCCCAGCCTGGAGCCAGGTAAGACCATAAAGGATGGAGCTTGAGACGTGGATATATAAAACCTAGAGTAAGAATGCATGTATACTATATAGGAAAAATTAAGGTGAAGGAAAAGAGATACACTTATATGTGAGTGATGATTATGTTAGCATGATAAGTGCTGTACAAAAAAAGGCAAAGATAAGAAAACGAGCGAGTCAACATGGTCAGTTTGTTTCTCTTCTAATATTAGTAAGAAATGTCTCATGTATAATAATTTTATTTATCTTGCATCTACTATAACTCCATTCTAGTTAGTTATTATTCTGTGTATGCTAGCTTCCTTTCCCTATTTGAAGAACAACATGCTGAACTTGGAAAAGAAAGCCTATTATACCACTGCAAGGAAAAGGGAAAAGAAGAGAAGTGAAAGTAATACAAACGAGGGAATGGTGTTTCACCAATTTTAATTTAACGATAACCTCAGCACCTGAGCTGAGATTCTTGAGACAGGGAAGTAACGAGTGCCTGAATTTTATCATCCCACTGTATATTATTGTGACTGTATAATAAAATGAAAGATGGTGAACAGTGAAGAGAGAGAGAGAATGAAGGGGAAACAAAGGAAAGCTCAATCACTAATAAGGAATACATATTTGTGCTGAACTTTGTTGAGGAGGGTTTATAGAGAATATATTTTCTAAATGTTAATCCAAAATTTCAATGAATGTAAGATAATGCCTTTTTGTATGGCGCATAATTAGACGAAGGAAAGAAGGTGCTGCAATAGCAAATGAAGAGCTCATTCTAAAAATCTGTATACAGTAAAGTGCTTCACAAAATACAGAGCAGCCTCACCTTCGTTATAGTAATTGGATGATTTTTGTCCACGAGCTGCTGACACGTTTCCCGATTAGAAATTATCTTTCGAAAAGCAAAAAGCCGCCGAAGATTTTCAGGTTTACCCCAGCCACGGACAAAAAATTTAGTTAGGAGAATGCTACGATAGATCTGGTCCACCCGGCTCACCATATTCAATATGCCCACTCCACCATTTACCTGCAATCTGGCAAACACAGGTACAAATAATGTTTTTAGAACAATTTAATAAACTGGACTACTAGTATTTTGCTATACTCCATCTTAAAATCTTAATTATCCTATAGAAAAAAAAGAGACACCCACAGAGTTATTTATGGTAACCGGATGGTTATTAATGCAAGTTAACCTAATACATACTGCCAAGTGTATAGCTCATTTCCATTGGAGTCCTAACCTAAGATGCACCCTACATCTAACTCCTAGATGCCTATTTGTTGCCATACAAATATGGTCAGCAGATGTAAGGAGGCATGCAACTATGCAATATCCTCAACAATAGTGTTTGTTACATGTAAACCAGCAAGAAACCTTTACATAACAATTTCATAAAAATTCTACTCTGAAATACTTAATTTAGATAAGAGCAATCACCAATCATTTTGATATACTGCCATATTATACTAATCGAATGTACTAAACTTGTAGCAGGTCATACAGTGCCAGGAGACTGGGAGATAATTATGAATAATCTAAGGAAAAAGAAGGTAGTATTACATCTCTGGATGAAGAGCTCTTAACCAGTATCAAGGCACATCCTTGAAGGGGTGACATACCAGAAATACCATAGCAAATGGATGCATGTAATACTGGTGACTGAAGTGACCTCAACTCGTAAAAAATACAAGAGAATCAATATCCATTAGCTATAAGAGACCCCAATGGAAAGAGGCCTGTTTGCATTCTTTATTAAAACATGAATTATTAACACTGTCTACCTTAAGTATTCATAATGATTACATGTAAGATGCAAAAAAATATAAATTCTTTATATGAAAAATATGTGTAATGAAGATTGTAATCAAACCAAACATCAACAAAAGATCAAAAATAACTACTTTAAATTAGGCAAAATTTACACATTTTTTGAGACATTGTTTAAATCCCTACAATTTTTCTTTAAGCACAAAATTAACATGGGGCATATAGAATTAAAATTTAAAAAGATTTAAAAGTAGAAAACAGATCTAAAAAGTATTTTTATTTCCCAGGGCACCATTGGGGCTCAAGAAAAGAAAAACATTATTCAGATTAACCCTGGAGAGTTAATAACCAGATCCCCAAAAAAGTCAAGCATATGACTTATTTCCTTTAGGGCCCTTTTTTCAGTTTATTCCCCGGATACAGCCTATTTACAACACAAACCCTGGGGGAAATAGGCAAAGGTTTTAGATTGCTCAACATTCCACCTCACCCATGGCTCAAGCTGGGGTTTTTCAGTTGAGGTCAATGTACTCCCAAATGCTTTTTTAAATCACAAAAAGCTAACATTAGGGTCAAGAAACAGTGAAGCCAAGGGAACCCGGGTTTGGTCTTCACACAAGTAAAAAACCTGTGCACGTTTTTCTTAATTTGCTCCCCTTGCTCACCTAGCAGTTAAAGGTAGCTACCGGGGTTTAGCATTTTTGGGGTACATTCTGGGGAAGAAGAGTAAGGTTCAATGAATTAAATTTTAAAATTTAGGGGGAAGCACTAAACCCACGGGGGCATAAGAGCCGGGGCAGGGGACCCAAATCAGATTCATCCAAGAAGGGAAGGGAAGACCCAATCCTTGGATCAAGAGCCCCTCACCAATTTTAAGGAACCTCTTTCGAGGGGACCCCAATTTTAAAAAGCACCATTTGGCTCCCTTTGGGTTTAATAAGGAAAATAAATTTACTTGTATTATACACATACAATGGTGACAAATTAAAAAAAATTTAAACAAAGGATAACCCAACAAAGTAAATAAAATGATTACTTAAAAGAATAAATATTACAATCATGCTGGAACCATTCACAAGACAAACCACATTTTTGAGAGCAAATTTAACTTTGGTTCGTCCTGTACTTTATAATGCAAGATTATTATTTTTAGGAAGGAGTGCAAAACCCATAGGAGCTATAAAAAAAACCTGGGGAATGGGGGGCATTCAGGTTTGACCCAAAGGGAAAGGGGAAAGCAGGCCAATTCCTTAGAATAAGACCCCTCACCATTTTAAAGGGAACCTTCCTTGGGGGAATAATGGTCCGAACAGACCAAAACTCATCTAAGTAAATGATTTAAGGACCCCAATGGAAATAAGTTAATTTTACTTTTTTGGGCTTATTCTAATAATTTTTACACACATATTATCATGTAAGAATTGAATCACCCAAAAGTTTGTAAAAATTTACCCAAATAAACTTACCAAATAACCTGACATAGAATAAAAATTATCTTGCTGCCAGTTTGTCAAAAGGGTGGGATCCAAAGCAACTTGAACTAGGGGAAGGGGAAAACAAATTGTATACTCACAGTCAGTGGTCAGACTTCAAACACATTTTATTTTACAGCAATAAAGGGGTGGGAAGAGATGCCCGCACATTCCAAGCCTGTCATACATGAGCCATTTCAAGAGGAGAGAGAATGTAGCTACAGAAAAAAAGGAAAGTGATTTCTTGTAAGCTAACTACATGTACCATTTCGTGATCTGATCCTTTATGTAATGAAATAACTATTTACCTTATTCCAGTTTCCCTTTCATTGCAACTGCTTTTCACAAAGTTATTACCTATTTAAACTTTTTTGCTTTTAAAAAATGGAAATAATCACTTTGTCTCTGATTTTTTGGGTTATCAGTAATCTACACACATTGGGTATGTAGATAATTTTTTGTAACTGAATTTTTGTACCCTTTCCTGAATAAACTTTCTTCAACCTGGGCGATTTGGGGCATTAGGCTTAATCCAAGGGAAAGGAAAGCAGGTTCAATTTTTAGATAAAAAGCCCTAACCACTTTAAGAAACCTTCCCCGAGAGGATAATGGGCCAGGAAGACCGAAACGGGCGCTAAAGGGTCCCCAAAGAAATTTTTATTATTAAATAAGGGGGGAACCAAATCCGAGGATTTTACAGCACCCGGGGGGGGATGTGAAAGGCATTCGGTTTAATTTGGGGGCTGGAGCACAGATCCCAAATTCCCTAAAACAAGAGCCCTCACCCCCATCAATCCCCCTTCCCTGGGGGGTGCCAAAGGAAATAAGTTCCTTTTTCCATTTTTTTGGGCTATTTAAGTAATTTTCAATATATTATCATGTTGACAATTTTTTAAAACATCAAAAATTGTGTAATTATCCAATTAAACTTAAAAAAAATAACCCCGCTATAGAATAAAACTTATACGTTTCAGTCAGACTGGACCATTAACACTTTAAAGGCCCGGGCAAAGTGAAACGTCATCTAAGTTTCATTCTCCTATGTGCGGGTTATTTGTAATTATTTCAGTCACAAACTTTTCGTAGTAATTTTTTTTTTTACGAACCAACTTACTTCCCCCAGCGTGCTGGATGCTGTTTCTTCCTTTATTATTAAAACACACACTGCAGATATAATCACCATCCAGATTAGAACTTCATTCACTTGCTGCCTCTAAATATAAACCATTTTGTTCAATCCAGAATTTTACCAAAAAAAAAGGCCAGGGGGCCGGCCAAGTTGTTTACACAAAGACTTTTTGGGTTTAAAATAATGTTTGTATTTTTTTCAGAGCAAAAAAATGAATTGGGAAAATATATATGCATTCCCTATAGGAGCTTATATAATTTATTAAAAAAAGATTATAAAATATTTAATTTTTTATGCAAATATTATATAAAAAAATCTGAGATATTTTTTGACCCTGTATTTTCCAATGTTAAAGTCTGGGTGCAACGTTGACATAGTCACGAGCTGAATAAAAATTTAAAAAAATTATTAAAACCCTTCACAACGAGTACTTCATAACCCCTACCTGAAGTCAAACCCAAATAAAATAATCATACTAGGTTTTATTACCTTAATTATTCTTGGTTATTTTTAGCATTTATTTTCAAGGGCAGCCTATTACCTACCAAGAGTGCCAACAAGTGCCACTACACCTCCTTATCACCTAGGTACATGTCTGCTGTAAGGTGGATGGTTTAAGTAAGGAAGCTTGCTCACTCTGCTCCACGCACCTGGGAATGAACCCGAGTCCTTCGGTTATAAGCCGAAAGAACTACCACTGAGCTACAAATATACTTGGAGGGAGTTTCGGCAGTCAACGCCCGGTCAATGACCAGGCCTCGTGGTGGATCAGGGCCTGATCAACCAGGCTGTTACTGCTGGCCGCATGCAAACCCATGTACGAACCACAACTCGGGTGGTTGGGGACTGACTTTAGATGCACATCCAGCTCCTTGAAGATAGCCAAGAGTCTATTGGTAATCCCCCTTATGTATGCTGGGAGGCAGTTGAACAGTCTTGGACCCCTGACACTTACTGTGTTGTCTCTCAGTGTACTCGTGGCGCCCCTGCTTTTCATTGGGGGGATGTTGCATCTCCTGCCGAGTCTTTTGCTTTCGTAGGGAATGATTTTCATGTGCAATTTGGGACTAGTCCCTCCAGGATTTTCCAGGTGTATATTATCATGTAACTTTCTCTCCTGCATTCCAGGGAATACAAATCAAGGGACTTCAACCGTTCATTAAATTGAGTCTATCACATGGATGGAAACAGTACCTACCCACGGTCATGCATTTACTGATTGTCATCACCGCCACGGTGGCCCGTAGCTTGGTAGGTAATGCTCTCGCTTCACACGCTGAGTATCTGTGGTTCGATCCCTGGCAAGAGTGGAAATACTGGGAGTGTTTCCTTACACCTGTTCTCCCGTTCATTTAGCAAGTAGATAGGTACCTGGGTGTTAGTCGACTGGTGCGGGTCGCATCCTGGGGGACAAGAATGAGGACCCCAATGGAAATAAGACAGACACTGCAAGGCTCCAGGCGGACATCAACCAAATCTTTCAGTGGGCTGCGGAAAACAATATGAAGTTCAACGATGAGAAATTTCAATTACTCAGATATGGTAAACATGAGGAAATTAAATCTTCATCAGAGTACAAAACAAATTCTGGCCACAAAATAGAGCGAAACACCAACGTCAAAGACCTGGGAGTGATTATGTCGGAGGATCTCACCATCAAGG